ATCTGACATACTTTTGGCATGTTGCAAGGAGGGACTGGTCCTTGGAGAGGGACATCATGTTTGGCAGAGTGGAGGGGTGGCGCAGGGAGAGGAAGACCCTCAATGAGACAGATCGATTCTGTGACTGGAGAGGTGGGATTAAGTGCGTTTAAGATGGCTAGGTTGGCAAAGGATAGAACAGCATTTAGAGTTCTATACATAGTGTCGCTATGAGTTGCAAACGACTCGATGGCACATAACAACAACAACTTGTTGTGGAATACAAGCTCTCCAAAGACAGGAATTTTTCATTTGTTCATCTTTTTACACCAGAATCTACTACAATACCTGGCACACAGCAGATATTTAAAAAAGTGCTGAGTGAATGAATGAGGCTCAGAGAACTGCTGGACTTGGCTGGATTCTGAGAACGAACAGGCTCGTTGGACATTCTTTACTCAGAACCATTTACCAACATGTACCCACTTAGACCAAATATTATAAAGATGAAAACAATGATTTTAATTTTTAATTTACTTGCATTTTAAATTTCTTCATGTGAGAGAAAGTTTACAAATAGTATTGGTTTTTTATGCCAATGAAAAAGTGAAAAAAATTTGTTTTATACATTTTTAAAGTAATGAAATATGTACAGTGTCTAACCAATCCCTTTTTGTGTATTGTCTTCCCCCTCCTCACAGTTTATCTATTTATTTTTACTTCCCTTTCTTGTCCTAAAAACCAGTGATTTTCAAAGTCTATTACAGTTACTCTACTTACTGGGCAACCAGACTGTACATCTTCTTGGCCTCGGACTCCTCACCTTCACCAAGAGGCTCACAGGGTTACCCAACCCACATTTTCCCCCGGGCTGAAGACTGAGATTACCTGGTATATGCAATGTGCAATGAGCTCTAAGTCTCCTTCCCTCTTTGTCATTTACTTATGAGAGAAACATGTACTGACCTCTTACTTACCTTGCCAATCCTGATGTATGAATTTATAGTATCGAGCAAGTCAGCCTTTTTCTCATTTATAGGCACTTCAGCTAACTCCTTCCCTATTAATTCACCGGACTGATAGCCCATTGTTGTTTCAAATGCAGGATTTGCATACTGGTGGAGGAGACAAAAGAAAGAAAGAAAAAAATGAATTATGAAAAATTTTGACAAAAGGGAAAATCAGATCTTTAACCAAAATCATCACATCTGATTATCCAGAAAGTTTAGGAGCCTGATCCTCACCAGTCAGTTCTAAATCAACAGAATCCATCCTAAAGGGCCTGGGGCTCAGGAGACTTCTGCTCCCGTGACACCTGGTTGTGCTTTCTCCTGGATCCCCAGGGGTCCCAGGGAAGGCAGCAGTTTGACTCCCACTTTAACAATAGCAGAGAAAGAAACTGCACAGAGATGTAACAACAGTGCTGTTTATGATACAATGGAATATGCCACCAGATGTTGAACTGCCACTGAACTTACTCTAATTCACAGCAACTCCACGTGTGTAGAGACAGATATTCCCTGAGTTTTTCCAGAAGGGTGACCTTTGGAAGCAGACTTCCAGGCCTGCCTTCTGAGGAGCCTGAGGTGCCAGCTGGTGAGGCTGGACCACTGAAGGCCTAAGTCTGGCTCTGTTTTTGCACCACACACTGCCTGACTGCCACAGTTATTTAGCCATTCCAAGGCTGTTCTACTCATCTGTTTAATGGAAACGAGTTGGTCATTTTACAGGATTCAAATAAATTACATGTGAAGAAAGCAGACTAAAAATTAAAATATTTCTAAAGTTTTATGGTTCAATTTCAAACAGAGCTTAGGAAAAAATGGACTGGAAAGCTGTACATGTTGTGCTAATAATGATGATGGTGATAAAACAATAACTGACATTGCTTGTGGGAGTCTGTCTTCCTTGAAACACTGTAGTAAGCACTTCACACATGAACTTGCCCAGTCCTCACAAGAGTCTTAGGATTGGGGCAGAGCTGTTACGTGCAGTCGAGTTGGAAGTAATTCATAGCTGACAATCCAGTAGGTATTCAGAGGCTGTGGTATTTCCACAGACTTCTGTCTACATGGTTTACATATAGTTTACATTTACTGTATACATATTATTTATATCTGTAAACCATATAGGGGTTTTCCTTCTTGCAAGTGTAACTTTTTACCTCCTATATGGTTTACACAGAGTTACATAGAGAGCTGGTGAGTTTGAACTACCTGCCTTTGAGCTAGTAATGCAACTCCTAACCACTCGGCTACCAGAGCTTCCCTTTAGGAATGGCAGATGCTGGTTAATATTGATATTCTTCCCATTTGCACTGATAAGGAAGCAGATTCAGACTGAGCAAGTGAACGGCCCAAGCCTGTGCCTTCAACCACTATCCTGTGTCACTTCTCAAGGAAGTGATCCCTGAATGGTGACCGGATGGATTCATTACCAAAAAGGCCTAAGAGAAAGTGGAGAACTCAAGTTCCCAGAAGGTAAATCAAAGCAGAGCTAATTCTTGTCAGATAGAAGGAACTATTCTTTGCCACGCTTCCCTTTTTTGCTGTTTTTTTGAAAGCACAAACCATGTATATGTACCCACTTTCCTAATAATGGATACAAATATTTCTACAAATATTTCTAAGTCTCTTGGATTTAAAAAATTTACAGTTATTTCTAGTTTCTTTAAATATAAATTATCTCCATAGGGAGAAATAAGAAAATGTGGTATTTCTACAGAACATTTTTTCTAGTATGTTAGTTTTTACCATTTTCTAGTCTATAAAGAGCTTATTTCAAATTATATACTTTATAGATTTTGTTCTGATAATCTTCGAAGGAAAAAAATGGTTTCTTAAAGCTGAGGGAAAAAAATTCCATCAGACAGGGAAAATTCTAAAAATGAAAGCAAACTAAAGAAGAAATCCAGGACAAATTCTCAATTAACAAACCTGTATAACGTGGTCTTCACTTGTAATTTCAATTGCTTCTTGACTTTTCTCTAATGCAGTGAATACTGCATTACAAGCCCTTTATGGACAGACAAATAAAGCACTCGTTAATCCAAAGACTACAAATGTAACATAGTCTTAGGGTATTATATTATTAAATGTTATTATTACTTTTGGTTGAATTTTAAAGGAAATGAATACACATTCAAAAAAGGGAAGGATAATTAAGAGTGTAAGGAAGAAACAAATATCACCACCACTCCTGCTAATGGACCCTCACTATTCACATGTGGTATCTTTACTTTCCCTCTGAGGAGGCACAGACCAGTGTAGAACACAGGGTTCAAAAAACAGCTCATCACCAGCAGTGGGACCCCAGGTAAGTAACAGAACCTGCTCAGTGCACCTTCTTACCCCTAAAGAGTCTTAGAACAATCTTCAAGAAGACTGGGGGTTACCCAGAGAATAAAGTACCTGCACAGAGACTGGCAGAGGGAGACGATCTTTTGAAACTATTTTAACGAAACTGTGACTGCCTGAAATGATGAGCTTTTCTCACCTGCCATATAGTGAGCATTTTTCCATATCCTTAGTATCTGAAATGATTTTATTAGTTACACTAGTAGAGAATGTTTATTTAAAGAAGTGAGAAAATATAGATAATAAATAATGAGACACCACTTTACACTCACTAGGGGAGCTTGAATAAAAGAGAAAATATCATGAGCTGGTGAGGAGGCTGGGGAAGTGGGACCCTCATACACTGTTAGCAAGAATATAAAATGGTGTATCCACTTTGTGGAAAATTCTGGTAGTTCTTCATATGGTTAAACAGAGTTACCATATGGTCTAGCAGTTACACTCCTAAATACATACCTGAGAGAAATGAAACACTGGTCCACTCAAAAATGTGCACACAAATGTTCTTAAAAGCAGTATTTATAATTAAAAAAATATGGAAACAACCCAAATGCTCACCAATTAATGAATGAGAAAGTGTGATATCTCTATACAATAAAATATTTATCCATAAAACATAATTAAGTATTGATACAAATAATAATATAGATGAACTCTGAAAATGTGCTAAGTAAAAGAAGCCAGACACAACGACCACTCATATGATTCTGCTTACAGGAAATACTGACAATATACAACCTACAAAGACAAAAAGCACATCAATAGTTGCCTCAGGCTAAAGGGAATGGAAGAAACAAGGGGATCAGAAAGTGATGACTAAAAAAGCACAGGTTTTCTGTTTGGAGGTAAATGAAATAGTCTACATTTGTTTGCGGTGATGGATATTTAACTACATGAAAATACTAAAATCCGCTGAATTGCTACTTTGACTGGTAAATTATCTGTTATGTGGATAATTTATCAATAAAGCTGTCAACATAAGAAATTAGCTTTAATATTCTGATATCCCAATACTTAGACACATCATTTGAAATTCAAGATATTATTTAATACATCTGGTCAGTATTATTTTCATATCAATGATAATGTTAAATTTTTTTTAACAAATATCTTATTACAAGTTTATAATTTATTCAACAAATCCCCTATGATTACATATTTAGGCTGCTTCTGAGGGTTTTGTTTTGTGTTTTTTTTTCTCATATAAGGAAAAGGAAGTAGTGGGAGCTCTGGTGGCCTAGAAGCAGGGAGGTGTGATGCTAGCTGCTCCATGAAGAACAGAAAGATGGTCAATCTCCTCCTGCGTGATTTCCTGCCTCTGAAAACCTACTGGAGGGTCACTTTGAGTCGAAACTGTCATGACAGCAGTAGGGTGTTTTTGAGTAAGCTTGAAGGATATTGATCTGTGAGAAATTCTATTGGGTTTTAGCATTCATTTTTTTCAGATTAGGGAAACAAAACATCATTCACTAGTTGTTTCATTTGATTGGGGAAGCTAAACCTGTATTCAAATTTATTAACCATTTATGTCTCTTGTGAACTTTTAACCATATTTGAAAAAAGAAATTCCACTAGGCTGTTTAATTTGTTCATGAAAGCTTTTTATATAATTATTAGGCCTAAAGTCTGTCTTATATGTTGCTGTTGTTATGTGCCATCAAGTTGCTTGCAACTCACAGCAATCCTATGTACAAGAGCTCTAAACCCTGCTCTATTTTGTGCCAACA